TTCTTTCCTTTTTTCTTTTTCCCTTTTTTCTTTCCTTTTTTCTTTTTCACTTATTTTCCCTTTCTTTCCTTTCCTTTTTTTTCTGTCCTTCCCCTTTTTTTTTTCTTTTTCCAATATTTTATTTTTCTTTTCCCTTTTCTTTCTTCCTGGTATTTTTTTTATTTTAAAGTTTTTTTCTTTCTTTTTGGCTGAAACCCTCTTTACCAGGCAGCCTCACTAATTCCATCTCTTTCTGCTCCAAGATGACAGAGAGGAATCAGAATCCCAGCCTGGTTTGGGCTGGAAGGCTGAGTTTTAAGGCATTTGGACTTAGAGGAATAGCAGATTCTCAAGGCCAGAGCTCCCAGTGTGTCCTGGTTTGGACTGATCTTCAGGTAGAGTTTCCCAGGTGGATCTGCATGGATCTCACATTCCCTCTGCTTTCCCAAACAGAGGGATTTTTTTTTCCATAGGGAAAAAAGCAAGGAGCATCCCCACAGGGCCATCATTCCTCAGGGATCCAGGGAGAGCTGGGCTCTGTGGAACCCCAAACAGGAGACAGCCTGGCCTTAAAAATGGGGTCAAAAAGCAGAAATTGCATGACAGGAACATATTAAACTCAGTGGAAATCTTTAAAATTACACCAAAAATACCCCAACAAGTGAGCAGAACTTTTCCTACAACTCCTTCAGGTCGCTTGTCTGGTGGAGCTGGGTTTGGCAGCAGCCTGGTTTCATCTCTGGGGTCTCCAGTCAGTGAAAACGAGTGGGATTTCCCAGGATTTCAGCTGGACGAGAGGATAAGAGTGACTTCCCTGCAGGGAGATGTGTTGTTCCCTGCCTGTTCTGTGTCCTGCTCATTCCCCAGCTGCCTGGGGCAGACGTTCCCTGGCAAAGCTGGTGGATCCCTGTCAGCCCCAGTCCCTGCATCCTGCCCAGGCAGGGCTGCTGCAGCGGCTGCTCCTTCCCCGAGAGAGAATTCCAGGGGCTGAAGTCTTCCTGAGCACTGCTGGGATGAATTTGTCTCCTCCATGTGCTGAAATCCTGGCACTGACACCGAGCAACCCCCCAAAAACAATGCCTGGAGTTTATTTTTACTCGGCCAAATTCCTTCTGGTGTGGGGCTTTGAGTCATTTTTCCATTTTCCCCCTCATCTCACACATATTCCCAGTTTGCTGCTGCACTTTGCCTTTCCCTGCAGTAAAGGAGTTCTGCAGAGGCAGGGGATATTTTCCCAGTGGGAGGCAATCTCAAGGATTTAGAGGACCTCTCCAGACTTTTATTCCATTATTCCCTTTCTTACTACAGTACATATTTCACTTTTGGATTCCCTTCCCTTCCTGATATCCTGCTTCCCTTCCTGGTGATCCCACCTCAGCTGTTTCCCTCTGATCTTCCTGGTGCATTGATCCATTTTTGGTTTTCCCTAACTTATTCCAACTTTAAATTCCATTTCTGTGCTTCAGCAGTCTGTTAGTTCTGTGCCAGCACACCTTCTTCCTGGGAAGTCACGTGCTGGAGAAAGAGATGCAATATTGGGATTATTTAAATGAAGTTTATTTGAGATGGAACATCCCAAGTGTGTGAGTGGCTGGAATTCAGGCCCTAACTCAGTGTCAGTTTTGTAATTCCCATGCTTGTGTTAATTTGCTGCTGCAATTCCAAGGAGTTCTGGGATCTGGGTCACCCTCTCTTTCCATGGGCACTGTCAGGCCAGGGATGTTCTGAAGGTTTCCAGTTGGTGTTTTCCATGGATTTGCAGCTTTACCTCCCGTGTCCCTGCTGCTCAGAGCAGCATTTTTGGGAATGCCTGGTCCTGGGAAGGGTCAGTGAGCACTGGGGGGGGCTCAGCTCAGCCCTTGGGTTCCCAGCACATCCAAACTTCCCTGGCTCCTGGGCACAGCTCCAGGAAAAGCTGGGAAAAGCTGTCAGCATTCAGAGAAGGCACAAAACCCCTCTCCAAGGATGTTCCCAGCCCTGGGATCACAAATCCAAGGCTTTTCCTTGTTTCCTGGATTTAATCACTCCTTCCACACAATTCCCCTGCTGTGCTCCCTGGCTCAGCCCCATCCTGGGGGTATATCAGAATCTGAGGTATTGATGATTCTGAGATTGTAAAAGTCTCTGTCT